TTTATAACTCCATTTAAATAAGATTGTTAAAAGCACAAGACTTTAGAGGCATAAAGTAGTTTAGTAGTTGTCAAAGGCCCAGGGAGGAAATAAACTGCAAAGGGACACATGGAAACCTTTAGGAATGATGGAAATATTCTGTATCTTGATTATGGTGGTAGTTATATAACTGGATACATTTGTCAAAATATATCAAACTTTACACTTAAAATTGATGAATTTTATTTCATCAATATTTATACCTCAATAAAGCTGATTTAAAAAAATAATAATGTAGCAAATTAGAAAAATAACAACTAGACTTTCCAAACCTAAAATGCCATGACCCAAATTAAGAAGTATGTGAAATATTTTAATGGTAGATTAGTTGTGACTGAAAAGAGAATTAGTGAAGTGAAAGAAATGATCCAGAATGTAGCCCTGTGAGACAAAAAGGTAGTAAGAGACATAAAGCACACAGTATTTAAGAAGGTCTAACATATCTTTAATTGGAGAAAAGTAGGCAATACTTAAAGCGGTAATGGCTGAGAGTTTTCACAACTGATGAAAAATACCATGCAAAGATTCTTGAAGCCCAGGTACATCTTAATCAGGATAAATGAACAGAAACCTGTGTCTAGAAACATTAGTGACACCAGTCTTAAATGTGAGCATGGAAAGAAAGACAAATTACTCTGAAGGATGATTGGCAACTGACTTCTAGATAGAATAGTGGAAGTAAGAATGATAATTTCAGAGTGATGAAAGAAAAAATAATAATAAAACCAACCTAGAATTCTATACCCAGCAAAAAAAAAAAAATGAGGGCAAAATAAAGACATTTTCAGACAAACAAAAATGAAGAGTTTACCACCAACAAAATTGCAAATCAAGGAAACCCTTAAGGATATACCACAGGCAAAAGATGAATGATACGAGATTGAATGGCAGGTGTGCAGAAAAGTATGAAAAGCAAATGATGATAAAGATGTGAGTAAATATAAATGGATAGTGACTGTACAGAGTAATAGAAACAGTAGTGAAAGGAAATGTAATGATAAAGCACTCGATCCAAAAGGAAGGAAGAAACAAAACAAAACAAAACTTAAGTTATAAATAAAAAGCATAAGATAACATGATAAATTTAAACTCAAGTATACTAGTAATGACATTAAAAATAAATGGACTAGACGCTCCAGTTAAAGATGAGTATTGTAAGGTTTGGTTCTTTTAAGAAGATTTATCTATATCCTATTTTTAAATGAAGCAACTAAAATGCAAGAATAGAAAAGGGTTGGATATAAAAGAATGGAGAGAGATATGTCATGCAAATAGTAACCAAAAGGAAACTAATGTAACTATTTATATCAGAAACATAGACTTCAAGGCAGAAAGCTTTATAACAGAGGATCATTTCAAAATGGTAAAGGTTTAATTCCTGTAAGATAAAATGTTTATAAGTATATATTTACCTAATAACATAGCTTGATAGTATATGAAGCTAAAATTGAGAGACCTGTAAGTAGAAGGACAAAGCCACAGTCCTAGCAGGAGATTTTAGCACACTTGTATGAGTGATTAGCAGAGCAAGCAGAAACAAATCAATAGTTACAGAATATTTGAGCAGCGTAATTACGTTGTACCCAGAACCTGCAAAATATACATTCTTTGCAAGCTCACATTGTACATTTACAAAAGCTGTACATACACTGGGCTATAAAGAAACTGAAAAATACTGTATTTAAATCGTACAGATTATGTTCTGTGACTGCAGTGTAATTATACTAGGAATCAATAATCAAAAGATAACTAGGGAAAAATTTGTTAATTTTAATGAACACTCTTTGAAATAACACATGCACCAAACAAAAATCATGAAGTGGAAATTTGAAAATATTTTTTTGGAAAATATTTTTAAGTGACTAATAATAACATATATGAATTGGTGAAGTAGAACAAAAGCAGTTCCTAGAGGAACGTTTATAGATTTAAATGAGTAGAAAAGAAGAAAGGTGAAAAGCTAATGAGCCAAGCATCTATCCCAGGAAGTTAGAAAAATAAGAGTAAGATAAATTGAAAGAACACAGAAGGAAGAATTTAATTCACTGAGTTAAAATCAATGAATTAGAAAACAAACACATTCGAGAGAATAAACAAATCCCACAGACATAAAATCAATAAACCTCTGGTAAAACTGATTTAAGAAAGAAGATGCCACATGTAAACAATATTAGTAATGAAAAAAGGAGGATATTGCTACAGGTGGAGTTGACATTAAAAGGCTAAGAGGAGCCTGAGGAGAAGACATGACAGCTAAGTGGAATGTGGTATCCTGGATGGAATTTTGGAACAGAAAAAGTCATTAGGTAAAAACTAAGGAAATCTGAATAAACTGTGGAGTAGTTAATAAAAGTGTATTAGTATCAATTCATTAGTTGTAATAAATTAATTATGCTCTAGTAGCGTAGTGCCAAGGCACCTGACTGCTAACCAGAAGGCTGGCGATTCAAACCCACGAGCCACTCCTCGGAAGGAAGGTTGGACAATCTACTTCCATAGAGATACTGCCTCGGAAACCCAAGGAGAGGTCGCTATGAGTTGGGTCCAACTTGACGGCACATAACAACAACAACATCTTAATATAAGATGTTGATACAAGCATACCTCATTTGTGGAAATCTTGCATCAAACATGTCTATCAGCACCATTTTTCCAGGAGCATGTGCTCACTTCGTGTCTCTGTGTCACATTTTGGTGATTCTTACAGTATTTCACACTTTTCCATAATGCTGTTGTACACTTAATAGACTACAGTATAGTGTAGACAGAACTTTTATATGCACTGGGAAAGCAAAAATTTCGTGTGACTCGCTTTATTGCAGTGGTCTGGAACTGAACCTACAATATCTCCGAGGTATGTCTGTCATAGGGGGAACTGGGTGAGGGAGTATATGGGAAATCTCTGTACTATCATCTCAATTTTTCTATAAACCTAAAGCTGTTTTAAAAAGTCAAGATGCCATTTTGAACCTGTTATATTAGTAAAAATGTTCAAGAACACTTAAAATAACATTTAAATTACTAAATGCTTGTGAAAATATTGTGAAACTACATGATGCATTTCATTGCTGGTAGTTAATGTAAATTGGTATAACCTTTTGGAAAGATCTAACTTCTATTTCACTCATTGACAGGAATAAGTGTCCCAAGAAGTCATTCCAAAAGATGTGTGTGTTTATCTGTATAAATATGCATAACTCTGTTCACTTCATTGTTGTTTACAAAAAATCATGACAATCACCTAAATATCTAGCTATAAGGGAATATTTAAGTAAATTGTGATATATTAACGCAATAATAATTTTCAAATTATGTTCTGGAGAATCCGCCGAGGCTTCTGGACTCTTTCTGGGGCTCCACAAGGTTAAACATATTTCCATAATAAGATTAATGCATTATTTGTCTTTTCACCCTCATCTTTCTGCAAGTGACACTGAGATTTCCAGGGGCTACGTGATGTATGATAGCAGAGCAGTCTGAATGAAAAGCACATGTGAGAAGTCAGCAATGTTCTTTTAAGCTAGGCTTAAGGAACTCTGCAAAAATGTAAAACAAAGTCATTAGTCTCACTAAAAATTTTTATATTGGAAAATAATAGTTATTTATGTTAGCATATAATGGGTTATTGTTATTGTTTTAAGATGAAATTAATAGTTTTCTTATTTTCAATTTTGAATGCAGTAAATATTAAGGAATATAATCCATATAAACAGAAGCTCATTGAAGTCCTCAGTAATTTTTAAGAATATTAAAAATCCTGGAGCCCAAAAAGCTTCAGAATCACCATAGTGAAATAATAAACACTTTTTATAGTTATGAGGGCTGATAGAATAGGAAAATAATTTTGATGTGAAAAGACCTCTATGAGTAACTGCCTCCTTTGTCATGAGACCAGAAGAACTGGATGGTAGCTGGCTACCATTACTGAACATTTTGCCAAAGTTTCCATAGAAGAATCCTGATCAAAAGGGGGGAAATGTAGAGCAGAATTTCAAATTCTCATGGAATGTTGATTTTCTGCAGCCATGGCAGGTTTATAAACCCCTGAAACTACTGCCCTGAAAGAATCTTTAAACCTTAAACCAAAAATATCCCCTAAAATCATCTTACAACCAAACAGTAGTTTTGTTTAGCTAGTGAAAAAGGTCTGCCTTGAGTATTCTGCTCTTTTAAGATCCCTCTCTCTATGGGATCAAATTGACCACAGCAACTGGAAAGATTAATAAGAACCTTAGAGATCAGTGAGTTTATGTTAATGAGGGAGAAACAACTCAGAAGTGAAAGGTGAGAATAGTTACCCAAAGTCACTGAATTAATTGTATGTGTAGAAACTGTTGAATTGTATGTTTTGCTGTGTATATTCTCAACAACAACAAAATTAAATTTAGGAAAGCAACAGAAATAACCATGAACAGTTTAGAATGGCCTAATCACTGACCATAATCAGGGAAAATTATGCCTATACTGTGTGTAGTCTGGCACTGATGCATCTGATCAAAGATGAAAGATGACATAGAAAAATTAATACAGTTGGTTTGTTAGGCATTTGGGATGGGGTGTTTATTTATTTCCATTGCTTTTAAAATAACCTATATTATATAATAAAAATATTTCTATGTATTGCTTATACAAGTATTACACAATTTAGTACAGTTATTCATGCTAACATATTGAGAGTAGTAGGTGGAGTTCCAAAATCATTTACATATGTCTTTAGAATTAATTATCTAGGAAGTTTTAAGGGTATGTTTATATGTTTATATTTATTAGGCTAATTAAGTTTGCATTCTAACAGCTGGAAGACGTTGTATGCCCAAAAACCAGAGGAATTAGCAAATAGTTGCCTGAATCTATTCTCAAAGTAGATGGTGAACATTACAGATAAATTAAGAGCTGGCTGTACTTATTTATTTTTTTTTACTAAGTTCTGTTAAAATCATATGATTTATTTCTGTTTTTAGGAAATGACTATACCCTGGTGCTTAAAGAGAGCAGAACTTGTATTTAAGTGTGTCAAAGGTAAGCATATCCTTATATTCAATAACAAACTACCTATATTTCTTCCTCCCAAATATTGAAAGTTGAGCAACCTACAAGAAAGAACATGAGAGTTATTCCTGCTGTCAGGTGCCTCACATGACAAGTACTTTATAAAGGGGCTTTTTTGCTTATCTTTTTCCAGTCACAGAATAAATCTCCAGCCTTCCTAGAATACAAGGATATCTGGGTGTTACTTATGTTTTACTTTTATTCTAGCTTGCTCTCTGTTGCCTTTTATTTTCTTAAGAAGTAGTAAGACGTGGAGGCAGGGGAGCCACATATTTAGTTAACCTTTAATAACTTGTTTTAGCTTCATGATAGGGAAACTAAACCTACCCACCCACTGCCATTGAGTCTATTCCAACTCCTAGCAATACCCATTGGGTTTCCAAGGCTGTAAATCTTTGAGTAGATTGTCTTTTCTTCCTTCTGCAGAGCAGCTGTTGGGTTTGAACCACTGACCATCTGGTTAGTAGCCAAATGCCTTACCCGCTATGCCATCAGAGCTCCTTTGGAGACCAAACAGGACTTGAGAAATCCTAAGTATGTGTGTGTTATCACAACGATGTTCAGCCTCTCTGACAGGAGGAATTAGGGATTGCAGAAATCTATCTGACCTTTAAGGAGCTCTGGTGGTGGTACAGTTAAAGCATTTGGCTACTAACCAAAAGATCCATGGTTTGAACCCACCAGCTGTTCCACAGAAGAAATATGAGGCATTCTGCTTCCCTAAAGATTTACAGCCTTGGAAACTCAATGTGGGTCGCTTATGAACCAGAATCAACTCAATGGCAGTGAGTGAGTTACCTGACCTTTAGGCTTAGCCTCTCCTACAGGATAGGGTCTACCTGAAAAGTTAAGACATGAAGTCCCACAATGAAAGCTCAGTTTATCTCAGTAAATGACTGGTAGGTTTGAGGATTAGGACTCATGATTCAACGTTCTTTCTATTGTTAGGTTTCATGATGGAAATGGCTTCATGGGATGGAGGAATTTCTAGGACAGTGCAATTTCTAGTACCACAGGTATGTTATCTGAGTAGATCTTATCTCAGTTTAATCTCTGTTAAAATAGTCCTCACATATATAATTAGGTACCCTGCTCCAAGCTCCTAAATACAACATAATAAAATGCTAACAACTTCCTATTTTTTAAAGGGCAGAACTATTTGGATGCCATAAAGGTACTTTATTGTCAAAGATGTCAGCAGCTATCACTCAAGGAATCTCTTGTTTGACCCCAAAACCAAACCTCACTCATCCTTCCTTTGTTTTTTCACCATTTTTAGTATGTCAGTTATGAAGAGTTTATAATAAAGGCATTAGCAGAAAATGATTTGCTATTCTCTATAGAATTTAGGAAAATTGGTGGTACATTAATTACTGATTACACTAGTTTTCTTTAGGGGGTTTTCTAATCATGAAACTTACTCTCTGACAAACACAACATAGGTTCTCAGAGAATGAAGCCAGAAAGACACCACCTGTCTTTTGAGATGCTTTTAAATCAGCCATTAAAGACAGTTTCCATGTATTGAGTTTCATATCTGGAACTAGTTACATATTTTAAAATACTTTTCAATTTAAAAACAAAACAGTGTTAATATAACAAATGCAACATCTTTTTTAACTTCTTACAGAGTATTTCTGAAGAAATGTTTTATCAGCTTAGTAACATGCTTCCTCAGATCTTCCGAGTATCTTCAACACTCACGCTGACATCCAAGCACTAGAATCTTATAGATTAACACGCTGGCAGAAGAGGACTGCTAAACTCTCCAGGAACTAAGTTATGCTGGGACTCTGTCAAGCAAAGGATGCCAAGAAAGAGTACCTGCAGCCCAAGCCACAAATCATGATACGTGGATATATGTCTATTAAAAATATCCAGAATTTATATACCGTGCACACTAGTGCAGCCCTAACTTACAAATTTATTCTTAAAATCTCCTCATGAAGAAAGGTTTCTTTTTTCCTGCTGTTATGTCCTGTTGCTGAATATTAGAAAGTTAAAACTTCCTCTACCACACATGGACATTTCCCATGGCAAACTTATTACTCCATTTCCTTGGAGACACTTGGTTTTTACAGAAGGTTTCAATTATATCAAGATTATGCAAGGCTTCATTGAGCATACAAATAAAATCTTCTTTCTGCCATATTTACCAATGAAAATTAAAAAGCACTGAAATATACATTGCAAATATGGATTTCCTATGAAAATCTTTTTGTAGGGATACAAATATATTAGACATATGTGCTCAGTATTCTAAATTCTATTTCACAGAACTGCCTTCAGTGTACTCTTTCTAAGGTTTTATAAGTTAGGGTTAGAAAGGCTGGGATTCTTTATCGTTGTCTCATCTTTCCTGTACGACCTTGCCCCTGTCTATTAATAGCATTTAATGGGCTGGGAAAATACTGTGCTCATTTGCAAGCCTGATGTAAAGTTAAGTCTGAACTAGCACCTGGCAGTATTTTAATGCTCATCAACATTGTGACAGGTCATTTTTATTTTTCTGTCCTTTGTCCTGCATTCTCAGCTTCCTCAGCCATTTTTCTTCCTCTTGTATTTCTTTGCTGATAACTGTCACATTTCTGTCTCTGCTGTTTTACCTCCTTTTCCATTGTCTTTCTTTGTGGTACTACTTTCTCGGATGCTGCACCTCACTTATTTATCCCATTTGTAACGTATTTGCTGTGAGTAGTGACTACGTTGAACAAAGGGTGATCCATAGACATTTATAAAAGCAGTGTTGTTGTTGTTAGATGCCATCAAGTCGGTTCCAACTCAGTGACGCAACATACAACAGAACGAAATGCTGCCCAGTCCTGCCCCTCCTCACAATCATTGCTGTGTTTGAGCCCATTGCTGCAGCCACTTTGTTTGTCCACCTTGTTAAGAGTCTGTTCTTTTCGCTGATTCTACCAAGCATGATGTCCTTCTCCAGAAACTCATCCTTCCTGATAACATGGTAACATGAGACAATGATTTGCCAACCTCACTTCCAAGGAGTTGTACTTCCAGGATGGATTTTTTGTTCTTCTGGCAGTCCATGGTATATTTAGTATTCTTTGCCAATACCACAATTCAAATGTGTTAATGCTTCTTTGGTCTTCCTTATTCAGTGCCCAACTTTCACAAGCATACAAGCCAATTGAAAATACTATGGTCAGGTGCACCATACTTTTCAAAGTGACATCTTTACCCTTTAACACTTTTTTCAGGAGGTCTTTTGCAGCGTATTTGTCCAATGCAGTAAGTCATTTGATTTCTCGACTGCTATTTCCATGAGCATTGATTGTGGATACAAGCAAAATGAAATCCTTCACAACTTCAATCTTTTCTCCATTTATCATGATAATTGGTCCAGTTGCAAGAATTTTTGTGTTTTTTATGTTGAAGTGTAATCCATACTAAACGCTGTAGTCTTTGATCTTTATCAGTAAGTGCTTCAAGTCCTCTTTGCTTTCAGTAAGCAAGGTTGGATCATCTACATATTGCATGTTGTTTATGTGGTACTGAGTTTCTGTTTGGGGTAATGAAAATTTTTTGGAAATGCACGGTGGTGACAGTTGCACAATATGATGAATGTAATTAATGTCACTGAGTTGCATGCTAAAAATGGTTTAAGAGGCTACATTTTTGTTATATCTATTTTACCACATTAAAATTTATGTATGTATTCAAATGGCTATCAAATGCATGAAAAGATGTTCAACATCATTAGTCATTGGAGAGATACAAATAAAACACACAGCAAGATACCATTTCACTCCAGCTAGGATGGCTAACTTGTTGTTAGGTGACATCAAGTCAGTTCTGACTCATAGCAACACTTAGTACAATGGATCCAAACAGTGCCAGGTCCTGCCTCATCCTCACAATTGTTGCTATGCTTAAAACATGTTAAAGAGGTCATGTGCAGCAGATTTGCCCAGTGTAATATGTAATTTTATTTCTTGACTTCTGTTTCCATGGGCATTGAATAAAAGCAGTAGTTCCATCAACTCCAAGTTTTGTGGATGTTGTAACTGGCCAACTGAATTAAATGGAGGACTTTAGGCATAATGATAATATGGTCTGCCTTGGTTCCAAGAGACACAAAGCACTATATTGATGTGTCTGCATATAATAACTGTTACAGAAACCCTATTTACAATCAATACTTTCCCATAATTCAGAAGGTATCTTCGTTTTCTATTCAAGGAGAAGGTGTGTCCATGTAACTACCCTAAAGAGAACCCAGTTCTCTTAACACTCATTCCAACAAGTTTGTCCATTTGACATCAAAACTTTGCAAATACCTTCCCTGAGAGCCTGATGATCCCACCAAGAAAGTAGGTATTTTGGACTTAAGACCTTTACCTTGTATAAGTTGTTATACAGACATCACTATTATCTTTGATACCGATCCTAGTGGAAAATGGGGTAGACAGAGGTTGAAACTAGGGGTGTGCTAGATCACCATCAAAGCTATTTTAGTTTATAAAATAACAGACCAAGTTGGAAATGGGCAATAGGATTAATAAAAGGCATTCACAAAGAGGCACTGAGAACTTTTCCACAGAATTCCTTATTAGAACCTAAGGGCACAAGCAACAGCTTAAAGGATGCAGCCAGGTACCAGGGTATAGGAGCAGGGTTCATTCAGAGGACAGTTTGGTGAATGCTGCCTAACCTTTTCTTTGTCACCTCAGGGCTGTTTTATTAAGTTACTTGTAAAGTGATGGCTTTCACCCCAGGGCAACTTAAAGATACTACCTGGTCTATGAAATTAGGATACATTTATTAAGTACCCATTTTTCCCATGTACTGAATTATGAAATATGCAGAAGCAGTAATATTGGAAAAATCACGCTTATGATACTACATACCACTGATTTAAAAACAAACCAAATATAAATCTGAAAATAAAAATATAATTTAAAATACTAATTATAAGGTGGAGATTTTAGTGAAGTAGTCAATAAGAAAGTCGGGAGTTTTATGTTTGGCCAGGAAAGGATAAGATTATAACCCTTTTCTGAGTGTTCTAGAACAGCTTCTTGGAGGGGGTTGATTTCAGGTCTTTCTTCAGTGATGAAAATGATAGAAAGAGTATTATAGGTACAAGGTGCAGATGGGAGCAGAAGTAGAATGAAAGGAGGCAGTGAAATGGCCAGTACTTTGAGGGAAAGCTGACCCCAGAGTCTGGAGGGGTAGGTTCCTGAGTCTTAGCCCAAATACTGGTGGGTAATGTCAGGTAGGCATGGGGTTTTCTATTTTTGTAATCAGTTAAGTGTTCCTAAGACAGATGACAGTATAGTCCTCAACAACTTAAAAATATGCTTCAGAAATGAAGTATATCAGTCAAGGCTACTGAAACCATGTTGTTGTTGTGTGCCGTCAAGTCAAACCCAACTCATAGTAACCCCTCCTTGGGTTGCCAAGGCAGTATCACTACAGAAGTAGATTGCCCCATCTTCCTTCCGAGGAGTAACTGGTGGGTTTGAACCGCCAGCCTTCTGGTTAGCAGTCAAGTGCCTTAGGCATTATGCTACCAGAGCTCCTACTGAAACCATAGTATCCATTTTTGTACCACTCTTTCCTTCCCATCCCCCATTCCTCCTCTCAAAGCACCAAAGCAAGCAAGGCTATAACCTTGCCATTGATCAAGAAGTATGAGCTTTTCCTCAGTAAGACAACGGTGTGAGCAGAATGGAAGAAATGCATGGAAAAGAATTTAAAAGGGAAGACAACTTACCTGAGTTGGCAAATCTCTTACTGATACAGTACACACCATCATTTGTGTCATTTTAGTTGTATCCCAATTCTAACAAGAAGAGAACATGTCGCATGATGGCAAGATGAATTGGTAGAAGAATTCTTGTTCGAGAGGATCAACAGAGCTGTGTTGAAAGAAAGGTCAAAACTTAAAGAGTAGCTGCATTGTCAGTGAAGGCAAACGTGGGTATGTGGATGGATAGATGGATAGATGGGTGGACAGGCTAAACAATTAGGTATGTCTATGAAATGGGGAGTGTATCCAAGAACATATATAGGGTTGGCAGACAATGGTCCTATAAACTTATGTGAATGATGAATTCCCAGGTGTATAGTAGAGCTGACAAGGGGCAAGGTTGTGGCCCCAGAGGGACTGAGTAGTTGAACCTGTGG